GGAGCCAATGAAGAAGAAGTTCTTGAGTGTCCCTGATCACCAACCATCCTCTTTTCTAAAAGGCAAGCCCCGGAGTATTCTAAGTCTCCTATGTTTTGAAAATGATTACTTTGAGTATCTTTATATGTTTGATGCATTAAGTGATAGGAACTGGATGCAAACACTTGTTGCACATACATCTATTCCTTGTCCAGTAAACGTACCCTAAATCCTATTTAGGTCCAGGAGCGAATCAAAGCTTAGCCTTGCTTAGACCGATAAAGTCAGGTGATTTCCTATCACCTGCAAGTTAGGGTGATGTCTGGTCACAGTTGGCTATATTTGCTATCATGGAAAATAACCATGTGTTAATAATGAATTGAGACCGGGCGGGATGTCGATAGAGAAGCAACAAGGCAAGGAGGTCTTGGGTGTGGATCTATCCCCATCTGTGTCGGTTAAGGACCGATTCGTTGTACGTCCTCATGTCATGTTGAACGCATGTCAATCACCTAGTTGGCCGGATAACTCATTCCGACAGCGAAGCCGAGTAGCTCAACTCAGGCCGGAGGGCCAAGAAGTGAAAGTGTGCACTCTGGCGATAGTAAGGATGTGTGGGGAGCCATTGGCGTAAGTCCAAAGGTGAGATTGACCACTTGGCAGAGTGGATTCCCTGAGAGTGCGGCGCTGCTCAGAACTGCGAATTTATTCCTGAGTTGTACCAAAGGTGACCTAAGGCAACCACTGATCAGGTTGATTGGGTTTATGTTAGGAATAATTTCCTAGCTGGGTAGGAATCGATTCGAATCGCCGTCTCTCCTGGATAGTGAGAACTTGACTGAGCAGTGGCAACGTAGATACACTAAATTGAACTTGATGGTTATAATGATGATGATGATGTTACAACATTAGACCGGATATGGTTACTAATGTTTGGAGTTAATCAATTGCTTGCTCTAGTACAGGTGCTAATCTAGATGACAAGTTCATATTGATAACTTGCTGCTTAATTAATAATTTAAGTTATGCTCTTGTATCATTAAAGCTTTTATGTAAAATGGTTGTCAAGCAAGATCCATCGATAAAGCCTTGCATACTCCTTGGTGTCATTTATTTTTGGTTTACGACGGGTAAGTCTAGCTGAGTACATTCTCGTACTCAGGGTTTATTCCCTTTTGTTGTAGATGACATGCTTTATAACGGCTACTGCAAGTATTGTCTCTACCCTACGGGGGATGAAGACTAGATCATGGGCATGATCTTCTATGTTATCTTATCATGTTGCTTTTGCTGGATATGACTATGGAATTGGCTTGTATTTGAACTAAGTGTGTGTGATGGTCTCAAACTACTTTGCTTCCGCTATTTGTGAACTCGTGTTGTAATAACTATGTGAACTCTGATGTATGAGATACTTGTGAACTACTTGTGAAATGTATGTAACATGTGGCTTGTTATGTTGAATCACTACGGTCTTGGTTGTATGCAAGTTGGTTTGAAATCCTTCGTGGTTTGAGTTGACTACCGGGTTTATATGGGTTCAAGTATGACGGTTTGATAACTCCGGTGATTGCTTTTATACTTGTGCTCTTATAAATTGGTCGGTTCTGTTACATAAGGCGGTGCACATACCTGCCATGGTGGTGACAACCCCGAGGCAAACACCTCCATTAGCTGCATTTTTTTATTCTCGCTTCGATCCATAAGCGGTCTAACACTATTTTGCAAGCATTGCTAACTCTCAAATGTTTTCTCAAAACATGTTAGAGCCAAGTTAGCATTTCTCAAATCATTTTTGATAAATATTTTTGCTTGCTCTCTGATGTGCACTAGACCTAAATGCAATGCATGAAGTCCAACACCTAGTGGCACTAGATAACCGAATTGTCTAATTGAGAACCCCTCTTAATAGTACGACCATCGATCCTAAATGTGATCACACTCTCTATAGTGTCTTGATCACCAAAATAAAATCCCTATTTATACCTTTGCCTTGATCTCCATAGGGTTTTATTTTTCTCTTTCTTCTTTTTCAAGTTGAGTACTTGATCATCATCTCATGTGGCCATCTCTTCATTTCATGTGATCAACAACATCTCTTGAGTGCCACCATGCTCCACACTTGGATTGTACCAACCTAACTCATATCACAACTCATGACAAAGGTTAGTACATAGGTTTAATCAATTATCCAAAACCAAACTAGAGCTTTCACTGCCCCCTCCCAAGCCTCCCGTGATCCTCCCAACACTTCTAGAGTCAATCTTCACCTTTGGATCCCGAGGTTCTCTTCTCCTATTGGCTAAGAGGGAGAGCACAGGGATTCAATTGCCCACAACGAAGCATCCAACGTGACAAAAGTATCCAACTTCCACCATGACATGTGGGGACACCTTCTAGAAGGAAGTGGTGGGCCCAAGCTATAATAGGGAGGTCGGCCGACCTCCCTATGGAGCCTCCAGCAGTCCACCGACTTCCCACATATTGAACACATGTCAAATAACCTCAACCCTTGATTTCAAGTCGGTTTGATGGCGGTGGATCCAATGGGTGCATGATGAAGCTCACACGGATTGTTGAGGTGGCACCGGAGTAGCCCCTACTCATCCTCTAGCTATAAATACCCCCTAGGCCTTCACTCTCATGTATGACACATTAGAGTAAACCACTCTCTAGTAGCTTTTAGCGAAGCTCTATTGTAGTGCTATGTAATTAGGGAGAGAGTGAGGGAAGTCTTTAGGAGAAAGCCCTGGGGCTGTCGGGAGTCTTCTCCAAGGTGTACCTCAGCGGATGCTATCTTCTAGTAAGTAATACATCCGAGTTCTTTATAGTATTTGATATTGTCTCTGCTAGTAGTTATATAAGCCTTCTTACCTGTACACCATTTTACTTCAGTAGAGTGCTCTAGCCTTTCTAAGGGAACTTAGTTGGCCGAGGCTAGAGTAGTAAGTATAGTGTAGACGTGGCGTCTAGACTATATCTTGCCTGTGTAGATCGCTTGTCGCACGGATTGTTAGTGGTAGCTAGCAGGTGGTGACAGCCTTGTCTAGCCTTTGCATTCCACCACGTGTTGTAGGCAAGTTCTTAAAAGGTAGGGCTCCAGTAACAAGGTAGTAGCTTCGGATAGGGGTTTTGTCTCCTATTGTCTCGCCCATCGCCTCCTGTAAGTAAGGTGAGTGAATTGCCCTGTATAACTACTATCTTTATCAGATATCATTGCTATCTAGATCCTCTACCCAAGTTCCATAGGCTCTTTGGTATCATCATAGGACAGTCTTGATCCTTAGTTAGTTCACTTCACGTTCCCCGTGGAAATACGATACCTGGAATACTCCCGGTGAAGGCTACATTGACTACCGTACGCTTGCGGTTTACTCGTCTGCCACTTTAGGTGTCAACATGCTCCTAATTGAAGTGAAACTTGTTTCGTTGGACTCATTAACGCATAACAACAAGTTCTATAGGCAATTGGCTTGTCAAGCTAAAACTCTACCGATGGAGTTGAAATTGTTTTGATGAAAACAACTCTATGTGGAGCTCGTTAAAATATGCTCTCACAGAATCCCATGTAGAGCCCACCAAAGCGAGTGGGAGCTAGGAGAAGCTACTCTCCCATCCACCCCTTCTGAGAGCATATTTTAATAAGCTACTACGGTGAAGTTTTTTCATTTTATCCCCTTTGACATAAAATAGCTCTAAACAATTCCTAGAGCTGGTGAAGGAGTGTGAAATAGGACTTAAGGTCCAGACCAAGGCACACCGTCTCCATATCCCCCATTAGGCAATCAAGCAAAGCATGCTGACATAAGCTCTCACTTCTTAGAGCCTATTTGAATACAAGGGCTAATTGCTATCTAGCTAAAAATTAGTTCTAGTGTATTCAAATAAGAGGGCTAATAGGTGGGCTAATTTGTTAGTCACAGTGTCGCCTAAATAGCCTAAACGGACATTTAAATGACTGCTAAACGGCAGCAAATTATTTTGTTTAGGGGTATTTGGAAATTAAACGGTTGAATGTTTAAACGGTAAAAAATAGGGGTAAATGGTCTAAACGCCCTAAATAAAACGGAGATAAACGGTTTTAAACGGGTTAAATGACTGCTTAAACATCTGTTTAGACAAACACCAGGTAAATACAATTAAATTTACATGCATAAATTTGTATACTTAAGTTTAATTATATTTATAAGTATGTATACTTGATTTCTTACATGTATGAATATATATATTTGATTCTTTTTACATGCATAAACATATACATACTAAAATAATTGATTTTTAATTTCATAAATATGTATAAATGCTAGAACAATTGATTCTACATCAATAAATAATATTGTGTAAAACTGTCTAGACCGTTTAACTCTGTTTAAATACGGTGTAAACGGATTAAATGCTAAACGAAGGGCGAACCACTGTTTACGGTTAAGCGTTAAGGATAACACTGGTTAGCCAAGTCTTCAACTAAGACCATCATAGCTAGTTTGAACTAATTTTTAGCCTGACTAATAACTAGCTATAGCTCATCCATACAGGCCCTTAGCTGTGCTGCACACGGAGCGTTTTGTTGTTGCTTTCTTTCTTTCTTTTTGGCTAGCACATTAGTACAGCACCCACACGAGAACAACCGTGGGCCAAATCAAAACTACTTTGTCTGGGCTAGATTAAGCCTGCTTTTTGTCTGGGCCAGATTGAACATGTTTTTTGTCTGGACAAGTGACGGCATGCTAAAACTGGGCATGGCGGCCCGAATGAGCGGAACACTGTGGCCCATCTAGGGTTTTGATCTGTCGTGTAACAGGATGGGCCCCACCTGTCTGCCACTGACATCGAAGCGCCGCGGCTGGAACACTTTCTGCTTTCTCCGGCGTTTTTTCCCACGGCCACCGCGCAAAAACCCCGCGGGGAAATTTTGCTCGACGGCTCGGCCCGCCCGCCACCATCAAGTCTCGCCCCCCGCCCGCGACGACTCGCCGGAGAGGCGAGGCTCTGGACTCTGAGATTTCCGGTGAGGCGGTGACATGTACGCCGACACAATGAAGGGTCACCAACCCAAAGGGCGCACTAGGGACGACGACACCTTCAAAAGGCTCGCGGGTGCCTGGCCGACATACTTTCCCGAGAAGGCCGAGGTCGGGCTATCGGAGTCCGACCATAAGGTCCGCCTCGCCACCGCCTTGGCTGAATCCTTCTCCACGCTCGAGGTGGCGGAAGTCCTTTTCTCACGGGTAAATACGCGCGCCCAATCTCCTGTTTAGTTTAGCGCCTTCATCTCCTGTTTCGTGTGTGATTTAGTTGGTGGCATTCTGTGTTGGTTACTAGAGAATGGTCGAGATTTCATAATTTTGGATCATATATGGACGGTGGTATTTGTTGTGGTATGTGTACTGGTGAAACGAGGAGGATTTTCGCGCATTGGGGGTTCGCTCGCTCTCGGGAATGTTATCAAAGTTGCATCACAAACACTTGTTCAGAAGTTTGCAGGATCGATGCTTAGTGTTCATTTACTTTAACTTTCTAGTGTCTTAGAAAAGGTAACTAGTGCCAGGTATTTAATATGGTTAATCATAGTTAGGACCATGTGTTAGCGTCCAACTCCATTAGAAGCAAAACACCAAGCACTAGATGTAGTACCGGGCCAACCGCAGGAGGCTACAGGGAGAAAGTACAGGACTAGTAGTGATACATGAGGGGAATTCAGAGGAGGATGAAGAGTTGTAGATGTAGAGGTCAAAGAAGAATAGTAAAAGGGAATGATTCATTTCTGGTTCAGTCGACTGATGCCTTATCGTGCTGCTGTTTCCCTGTAGTTCCTCCTGGCAAGCCCAATGGCCCACTCCATAGTGGAATTTTTAAGATGGATACAACTTCATAGGGATCCCAGAGCAATGGCCTATCACTGATGAACACCAGTCATCCATAACTAAGAAGGTGTATTTCTGCAGTAGCAATCAAAGAAGTCCAAAAAGCAACTCAAAATTTCATGAACCAACATTCTGAATATAGCATGTGTGTCACTACCAGGATCCCTTGTTAATTGTAGGCAGAACATGAACCAGTTGTTGAAACCGTCACTCATACGGACCTAGCTATGGTTGGATGTTTTCAGAACTATAGCCAATTGGTGCTTGTTTGTTATATGAGTTCCACTTTAAATTTGATCTGATCTTCATGTGGCCATCCCTGCAATACTTTCATTTGCTGCAACCTTTCAGGTTTAACTGAACTATGTGTGCTGATAACTTGTAGCTCAACCCACTTTACTTGACTAAAGGGCGTACCCAGGGCAGAGAGCTCCCGCTCTGTGCGGGGTCTGAGGAAGGGTGTCAGTGGCAAGCCTTACCCTCGCTTGTGCAATGCGAGGAGACCGCGACTCGAACCCGGGACCTTCCGGTCACAGGCGGTAAGACTCTACCGCTTGCACCAGGCCCGCCCTTCAACCCACTTTACTTGACTAAAGGGCGTACCCAGTGCAGAGAGCTCCCGCTCATGCGGGTCAGGGAAGGTGTCGTGCAAGCCTTACCTCTTTGTGCAATGCGAGGAGACCATGACTCGAACCGGGACCTTCCGGTCACAAGTGGTAAGACTCTACCGCTTGCACCAGACTCTACCGACTCGAACCCACTTTACTTGACTACTTTAGTAAAATTGTTTCCACCAGATAAGCACCAACATGAAGCAATCAGCTATAGAATCACCACACTTTTGCTGCCTTAGATCTCCGGTGAGCTCATGATTAGTCTCTGGAACTAGAGCTTTCACAGGCAAACTTGATAAGCTTGACACAGTAAGTATTGGTAACAAGAAGTGCAGTCTTGAGTAAGCAATTAATCACCAAGTGCTCTGCCAACACATTCACTTAGGTCTGGTTGCCATCAAGCTAATTACCAATATCTATAGCTTCGTTTTTTTTTTTACAATGACAAATGGTGCATCTCCTGTATAAGGTGCAGCTCTCACTTCCACTGTCAATATTCAACTGATCAGCTTTAGTAACCAATACAAAGGAACTATGCAGCTCATTATCTTGATTAAGTGGTCATGCGTGCTGTTTTTCCAAATTTAGGATTAAGGTTCCCTATCTGCTTGTGCAAGAGTTTGTAATATGCAGCCTGTACTGACAAAAGGGGTACAGTTATCTTCCTAAGTCCCTTGTGATATGCCTACTCTAAGGCCAATGCACAAGGCATAGTATGTTATAAATCATGGATATTGGAATACTAACCTGTCTTTAGAATTGTAATTTGTAGAGTACATCACAACAGAGACGCATTTCTTTTTCAAGTAAATGCTTCTTTAAAGTTTTGTGATAGTGCTGTAGACAATATAATTGTTTCAAAGTCAGCCTCATTGATATCTTCTGAAAAGTTTAACAGAGCAAGTATACCTTTGGAGTTTTCTATTTCTTAAAGCATGAGAGCATAAGAGCCTCTAGCACAATTAATGGCTAATGGCTGTCTGCCTTACATTACCATGTTTTTTTATGTGTATATTATACTTAAGGAACTCTTTAGCAGCTTTTTTCTAGGTGCTGTATGATTTCTTGTACGATCATTGTGAAAAGTACATATTGTAAATGCAGGAACTCACCCCGCTTGGCTCATGTGCTTACTTCTATGTGCACAGATTGAAGATGATGGCAATGACATCATATGTCTTCCAATTGATTTCCAGCAGCTTCAGGAGATGTGTGTGTTTATTAAAGATAAACTCAATGAATCCCCAAAAGAAGCCTTGCTTTGCATGGGAGTTGCAGCTGATCTGGTTGATGTCTATTCATCTTATAATTTACTAGTATGGTAGTGGACCATATGCTACTTCCATTAAATGTATGTTTATTCTTGATATTGTTTTTAGGCTCTGCGCCGAAAGGCAAAATCAACAAGATCTTTTGAACATAAAATTCAACAAGATCAATATCAGGCTTTACAACACGGGGCGGTTATTGCATTAAAGCAACTAAAAGCAGCCTTTATTAGTAAATCACTTTTTGCCTCTATTCATGTGTTTTATATTTTATTAGTGCGCATATAAGTACTGATGTGTGGATTTTCGTTTCCTTTGTAGAGAAACTTATCACAGTGCATGGTACTGTGCTCAAAGTCAGCCCTGTAAAACCTCTTGTTCAGCAGCTGGAATTCCGATGCATGAAGTGTGGTAAAAAAATCCCCCATATGTTCTGTGATGGAAAATTTTCTCCTCCAATGTCCTGTATCATTCAGGGATGCAAGAGCAGGAGCTTTATCCCAGATAGATCTAGTGCACAGCTGGTGGATTTCCAGAAAATTAGGCAAGGGACAAGTAAACTCATCTGAGTTTTCCTCCACTTGTATTGTGCTAAAAGCTTTACTTTTCTTATGTTCCCATCCAGAATACAGGAGCTTGCAAGTGCTGACAACCACGAAGAGGGCCGAGTGCCACGGACCGTGAGAGTGTGAGCTTACAGAAGACCTCGTTGATTGTTGCATCCCTGGAGAGATCGTAACAGTAACTGGAATTGTGAAAGTGCTTAACAACTATATGGATGTTGGAGGAGGTACATGCAAAGTGGCTACAACAGTGCTCTTTTCTTAAATTTCCTTGTGATATTTCACTAATTGTTTTAACAATAAATTTATTTGTCAAAAGTTGTTAGTCTGTTTAGATCCTTGGATTATCTATGCCATATCTAGAGTAATATAGCATTGTCAACCTTTTGTTTTGTTTGTTCATTTATTTGGAAGTCTAGCTCTGGGCGCTATGGACTATGGGGCATAAGTAGTTCATTAGAAGTATTTAATGTGATGCATATTACTCTTACAGAAACCTACATGTATTTGTCAACATAAGGACATCTCTATTACTTTATATTGCTAAAACATTCCCTATTTCCTGTGTTCCATTATTTCTTATAGTTTCTTGAATTTAAGACTCAAGAATATTGATAATATGATGAGATGGAGAAAACAAAGTAGTGATTAGGTTTAGTTGCTGTCCTTATCTTCAGGTCCTTCATGCACATGCTAGTAAGCACTAGAGACACTTGTTTTGTTCTAAACAAATTGTTTGAGCTTTCACTTTTTTTTTAATTTAGAGCACTTTGTTTGAATATTTTATAGATCTATAACTAATATCTTCAGGGAAGTCCAGAATCAGTAATCAGGGTTTATACTACCTGTACCTGGAGGCAGTTTCAGTAAGAAAGTCGAAGTCCCATGCTGTTTCAGACAAAGAAATTCAGGCTAGTGGGATTTGTCATTTTCAGTCTTGTACTGAAAAGGATGATTTCGCTGTCAAATATAGAGAAAGATATGGTACCGATGTATTTCGCCGAATACTTCAATCCTTTTGCCCCTCTATCTATGGGCATGAACTTGTAAAAGGTATTTTCTAGCCCCTGTATTATATCAGAGTTACAAGATATCTGCCGGTTATTTAATGTTGTTATGAAATCTTCTATTCAATCTGCTCTATTGTCCCAATATTTGAAGATGTGATATTGTGAAATCTCTTGCCCCCTTCAATTTCTGTCTATAAGAGTGCATCACAATCTGAAGCATTTCAATAGTTGAGGGGCTAACAAAGCCATTATCAGCTGCAGTTACTTTAGGATGTCTATGGAAAATGGTCAAGGCACTCCTTTTAGTCATCCAGGCCTGCTGATTTCATTTCTCTCTTTTTTGCATATGATTGTTCAATATAACTAAATTCATGTACACTGATTTTCAGCTGGTATCACACTCGCTCTTTTTGGCGGTGTGCAGAAGAACTCAATGGATCAAAACAAGGTCCCTGTTCGTGGAGATATTCATGTTATTGTAGTTGGTAATTTCTTTGTTTACCATAAATCCTGTCAGAACTTCCATAGTGTTGTTCATGATGCGATTATGCTCTTGCTTAAAATACTACAGGTGATCCAGGGTTAGGCAAGAGCCAACTCCTCCAAGCTGCAGCCGCTGTTTCCCCACGAGGAATATATGTATGTGGGAATACGACAACAAAGGCTGGCCTAACTGTTGCAGTGGTTAAAGATTCTATGACAAATGATTATGCATTTGAGGCTGGTAACCATAAAACATATATTCCTTCATTATAATTTTTTAAGCCTTCTGTTCAAAATCGTGTCTTAATGATGGCATTTTTTTTTCTTGTCATACCAATTGCTGTTCTAAGTGCTTGTGGTTTTAGAATTTGCAATGAGATCAAAATAAAGTTGGGTCCTTGACTCACAGGTGCCATGGTCCTTGCTGATCGTGGAATATGCTGTATTGATGAGTTTGATAAAATGTTTGCAGAGCATCAGGTATTACAATTATTTTTCACCTTATGAAGGTTTTCGATGAAGTGTTCACTGTTGAGGAAGTTCACATGCCTATCTAATTGTGTTTCTGTTTCTGGTTCTCAGGCTTTACTTGAAGCCATGGAGCAGCAATGTGTTTCTGTTGCAAAGGCTGGCCTTGTAGCAAGTTTATCAGCTCGTACTTCAGTGTTGGCAGCTGCAAATCCTATTGGTGGTCATTATGAGTGCGTTAATATTTTCCATCCTACTTTTTGAAAAACTTGTTATTTCTCTCCATTCATTGTTCTTGATCGGACATCCCCATTCATTCATTTTTTTTTTTGAAAAAGATATGCTGATGCCATGTACTGTTAAGGCTGAGAATGATACCTGTCATTCTTGACCACTCATCTCCGTTCACCTTTTTTTTTATAGAAATACTGATAGCATCTACCGTTAAAGACAGATGTATGTGGAATTATTCTAGTAGTTTAGGTGGTCTAGAGTGGTATGTGGTGGTGATTTTATCATATGAAACATTACTTGATTGAACTTTTAACTTTGGTCCTAAACTGCAAGTTTGCAACTGAAGAACTGAACTCGAAGTAAAACCATTCATCTGTTGATATTTTGTGGTGTAGTTTGTCCCAATTCACTTCTCTTGGCCATTGGTAGTTTATGCGATTGACATTGATGTCAAGTATACTTATCTCTTCTCTCTTTTTTTTTGCTTTGTTTTTACTGAGGATTCAAGCCTGAATTCCCATGGCTATTGTATGGCCATTTTATTGCCATCTAAATACACTGTTTGTTGCAGTCGAGCAAAAACAGTGAACGAGAATCTGAAGATGAGTGCTGCCCTCCTTTCTCGGTTTGACTTGGTGTTTATTCTACTTGACAAGCCAGATGAGTCACTAGATAAAAGAGTGTCAGACCATATAATAGCTGTAAGTGCCTGTCAAACATGTTTGCCAATTCATATCTCACAAAGCATAGTGACATTCTCATGTAATGCATTGAATCTATAATTTGTAAGAATGATTTTGTCTTACCGAACATACTACTAATTGAATTACTAAGCCAAAATTTCCTGCAAGCAGTTCCATACCAATGATCTTGATAATTTCAGACCCAACAAGAGGATCAGAACAGGTTATTATTACATATTATTTTGTGTTTTTTTAATCTATTGTACAAGTGAAGTGTAAGCCATTGTTCATGTTCTGGAACTTTGCTCAGTGTCACAATTTAATGGTGATCTGGGGCTTGGAGTTAGTGGAAATTCAGTAGCTTCAAGACTGAGGCTACACCCAGAGAAAGACAAGGGTTTCACTCCATTAGCTGGGCAACTTCTTCGCAAATATATATCTTATTCAAGAGAACATGTCTTCCCCCGGTATCTTGTTATTATTGTACTTTTAGTTACGTTAAAAAAAATATTGTACTTTTAGCACAAGTGCAATGCAAAGAGTAGTTTACTTTTTATGCTTTATTATGCCCTTTCTCATTCACTTTTCTCCCCTCTTTAAGAATGTCAAAGGCAGCAGCTGCAATTCTGAAAGACTTTTATTTGAAGTTGAGAAACCGCAGCACTTCTGCTGATGGTACACCCATCACAGCCAGGCAGTTAGAAAGCCTAGTCAGATTAGCTGAAGCTCGTGCTCGTGTGGATCTAAGAGATGAAGTGACTGAAGAAGACGCTCAGGTGAAATAACTGAGTATTTGAGTTCTGCAGAAACTGTTTAGAGCCATAGTTAGACAGTCCACATTTTCCACTGCGGCTTTGTCATTTAATATTCTTGCCATGTTAGTAGAATGCAACTTAGAAAGTCTCACAAGAACACATGCTTTATGGTCATAATTGCAGAAATCGAAATGTTTATTGACTAGTTGCAATGTGTCACGTGGGGCAAGTCCTTCACAAGGCGCGGCAAAAGGGCAGCGACCACATCAGGCCATGACAGTGGTTGATCAGTCCCAAACAGGCAGGTCTAGAACTTAGCCAAGGAGGTTATTGATTTGAGCGATTTAAGAATAAGATGGAGTGAATTTAGGAGTTTGTTTGGGGAGCTTTGGCTGCAGGCCTGTGTAAGCCATTTGGCACAACAGATTGAATCAAGAATGAATTAGCCTACTCTCTATCCCTCTCTAATCAAAATAAGGAGCTGAGGGGTAAAACCTCGCTCCAATCCTAGTCGCGATCTTCATAGTCGAGGCTCGCCGCCCACTCCCCCCATCATTGCCGCCATACCGGCGACACAACACAATGGACCAAGATTTTACAGAACTCTCTTCAATCCATTCTGCTTGTTGAACTGCTTCGTCTATTAGAATATGCTTTTATAAGATATTTTCACCATGAAACCTGGGGTTATGAGACACTAGGATATGTGGTTCATGATGCCTACGCCTGAGTGTAGCTCTTTTCCAGCCAAACACATGTCTGTCAACAAAATACAATTATAAGCAGCAGCATGAGGCATATTATTTTAATGTTCAATTTGTCATGTGGCACTTGGCAGGATGTTGTTGATATCATGAAAGAATCTCTGTATGACAAATATGTTGATGAACATGGTTATGTCGATTTTGCTCGGAGCGGTGGGATGATCCAACCGAAGGAGGCAAAGAGGTTTCTGAATGCATTAAACAAGGAATCTGAGTTGCAGCAAAAAGACTGCTTTTCAAAAACTGTAAGTGATGTGGCAAATCTTCCTTTTAAGTTCAATTACCATTCAGAATCTGCCCTGTTTGGAAGAAAAGCCACTACTGCATTTTGAGCATTTTTCTTTTCTTGTAACTTTTTCTTTACAACAACAACAACAACAACAACAACATAGCCTTTCAGTCCCAAGCAAGTTGGGGTAGGCTAGAGTTGAAGCCCACCAAGAGCCCCAAGTCACGGTTCAGGCACTTCAATAGCTGCTTTCCAAGTACTCCTATTCAAACATAGATCTCTAGGTATATCACAAGCTTTCAAATATCTTTTATTGCCTCCGCCCCCCCCATGTCAATTTCGGTCTTCCTCTACTCTCCTCATATTATTAGCTTGGCTTTAGGAGTCCACAATGCCTCTGGTGCCTCTGGAAGTCTCCTTTGGATATGGCCAAACCACATCGATTCGATGTTGGACAAGCTTTTCTTCAATTGGTGCTACCTTCAGACGATCACGTATATCATCGTTCGAACTCGGTCCATTCTTATGTGACCGCAAATCCATCATAACATACGCATTTCTGCAATAAAACTTTTTCTTTACAAAAGAAAAAAAATCACATTCTCTTGTATACTTGTTTTTTCCGCACTTAACAAAAAACACACGCACATTCTTGAAATTTCTGTGTGAGCATTTTTGGTCAATTAAACAGGAAAATCAATTTCTGGCTTGTTTGCACAAAAACAACACATGCATACCTTTTCTTTTGTGCCTTTTTCGTAATTCCTGACACTGCCCTCATGTTCTATCATTTTGCCGAGTACCAGGAGCTTTGCACCTTAGCTGATAAGATCAGCTTGCGAGTTCCAGACTTCGACGCTCTTATAGAAAAGATAAACATTGAAGGTTACCTTATTAAAAAAGGATCAGGGATGTATCAGGTAAAGTCCTACAGATCTGGTTAGGGCCAAGAAGTTATAGCATTGCTCTTGGTCTGAATAAGATGCTGTTTTATACAGCAGATTCATGATCAGACTTGCCTAACTGAGAATATGACATAGCTTCTTTTTTATAAACAGCTGGTGACTGCGTCATATTAACAATGCCAGCCAACGAGGTCAAGATGGTGAGTTTTCTTGAATGAAACTAGAATTTGCACAGGCTTTGTCTGTACTAGTTAGTATCCGATCTTACGCATGCCTGCTCTAACTTCAGGATGATCTCCAGACACTCTGACCCCTCCCGTGACAGATGTATGGTTTGGAGGCTATGCGCATCCTCATGGCTGCGCACATACGTGCTGCAATGTACAGGCGACTGAAGCGCATTCGTCGCAGGATGACCACTAACTTTGATAGCTTGATGTATGCCATGGTTTCGATATTATGATATTATTGTGAAGCAGGAGCCCTCTATGGCCGTTATTAGTCTAGATTTTCAAGTTTGCCGATGAAACATCCAGAATTTTATATGATGTATTTTGCGCCCCTTACACTATCCGATCACATGGAAAACATGGTAATAACTTAAAAACAGCAGGCCAATTTTTTTCGGCCACTGCACGCTCACCTCCCCCATCTTGCTCTAGCGCACGTGGTGGGTCCTATCAGTGCACTGTTCTTCCTCACCGCGCCACCCCCAACCTCCCTTCCTCAACTCTGGTTGGTTTAGAAGAGAAGGGGTTGGGGGAAGAAGGCCAGCAAAGCGGTGGGGATGATGGGAGGGCGGTTTAGGGGTCCTGACGGCGGTTGAGTCGGGTAGGGGAGCTTTGATGAAACCCTAGCGCGCCGGGCGGTGAGCAGCTGGGGGCGAGGGCCCGGAGAGCAGTTGGGGCACCGGAGAGGAGGGGCGCCTGTAAATTACCTCCTCAACCATTGTAATTGTTGCTGTTACTATGCTTCAGTGCTTGAGTTGCTATTTGGATAGTTTTGCGACACCATAAAAAAAACTGGCTTTTCAAAACAGACAATTATTTCTTGTTCCAGGTACCACCATTGCCATTCCAGATCGTCAGTTGGCTCTCCTCATAGTTCTGTAACAAAAAAAAAGGCTTTTCAGAAATCAGAATAGACAATCATTTCTCCATTTCCATTGCTGATAGTGGGATTTTTGTTGCCATCGTGCCCGAAATTGACTGGGGACAGATCAGAGGAAAGCTTACCCAGTTACCCTTCCTGCTCTGGGTCATTTTGGCCGACGTACTGACATTATGAAGCATTTTACAAATATTATGAAAATGCAACTTGTAGAATGGCTAGAGGGCAGACTTCTTACGAAGCAATCTTCAACCCCAGGGTACCTTTGCTGGGGCAAAACAAACAACAGTGCAATACAATATCAAAACATACAGCTCACTGAACCGGCACATGCTGATGCATATTAATATCTTCAGAATGGAAACAAAACTCTCGATAGCAATGTCAACAAAAAATACAGCTCGGAATTAACATCTCTGTTGCTAGCACAACTTTAAGTTTGATAATAGAGCCTTGACAGTTTACTCCATTCTTGACTATCGAAAGGAATCTAAGACCTTGGCTTCTCCTTCTTCTCCTTGAAGAGTGCAAGCAGCGACACACCAGATACCTTCACAACCTTGAACCTGACACCAGGAATATCTCCCACAGCATGGCCCTTACGACCAAATCCAGCAATCAACACCTCATCCTACAGCAAGAGAGATGGTTAGCTTTTTCATCACATAGATTTTTTAATCATTGCAAGGAAAATTGGTCAAGGAACATACATTCTCCTCAATGTAGTTCAGGCAACCATCATTCGGCACAAAGGCAGCAATCTTCTTCCCATTCTTCACCAGCTGAACACGGGCACACTTACGGATGGCAGAGTTCGGCTGCTTGGCCTCAATACCACTACACAATGGAAGCAACAAACCTTAGCCCAAGCACATAAAGTACAAGATAATAAAAGCACAAATCATTCCCATATCTGACATACATCTTCTCCAGAACGATGCCCTTGGCGTGAGATGATCCAGCAAAGGGTTTCTTCCACTCATTGCCCAAGTGGCTCTTCTTGTATGCTTTGTCAGCCCACCTCTGGTTCCTGCGGTGGGTCTTGAGCTTGCGCCCAGCTCCCATACCGCGTGTCTTCCTGTGATGCAAATTCAAGAACAATAAGTTGAACTCAGACATAAATCACTGGTTCTGCAACTCATGACCACAAGTCTCCATGTCCATTGCATAAACATGTGCACCATGATACACCCTACCATGCTAAAATCATGTAGCAAATGCACAACAACATGATACAATCATTCATAAAAATGCAACAATGTAAACAATTCAGTACTGAAAGAATTGTATCAGTGTTGCAAACAGACATCATTCCATCTAGTAGAACTGTAAACAGAAGGTACACACAAATCCATTCTTTTAGCTAGACCAAACAAGTACATCCACTGACGACTAGCGCTCACTGGTAACATCATAACAAAACAAAAGGTCACAGTCAAAAACCTAACAATAACAAAACAGATCAACCCAGAAGAGGAGATTCTTAAAACGTCCGATACCCCTTTAACAGAGGACTTGTATGCCACCACGCATAACCTCATGGATCCAAGCGATTGAATCCTGGAGCGCATGGCTACACAGCGGCAACGGATTGGTGTAGCTTATGAATATGTTTAGCACTGACGGTGTATAATCTGATCAGCACTGGACCGTCAATAAGCTCGGATTTTGCTTTTCGCCTCTAACCCGATTCCATTCTCTAATCACATAAGAAAACTGGCTAAATCACAGGCCACGCGGCGAAATCTACGCATCAACGCAAGAAAACAGAGGCTTTGATTACGGCAAAGGAACGCCTCGAAACAACGAGCACGGGTGCAGGACGCCGGAACGAGAAGGGGGAGACTCACCCCATGGCGGCGGAGGTAGGAGACCGGCTGTGAGGGTCGACGACGCTGCGGGGGGCGGAAGCGACGGGCTTCGACTTCGAGGGCGGCGGCGGCGGCTGCGGGAGTGAGGCCAGGCGAGAAAGATTTATAGTAGGGTTGGCAGTTAGGGTTTGCTTGATCTGCGTCACGATTCGTGCTGCGGGTGCTTCGGTCGTATCGTAGGGTCGACATGTGAACAAGATCACAAGTCGCGCGACTTGTTTTGTTTTGGTTCTTACCCTGACCGATGAGCCCACATGTCAGAGTCAGAGACGTGTCCTTGAACAGGCATAAAATTTCCTATATATTAACCTTCCTATAACTGAAGTGTATAAAAAATATTAGAGGCCAACGCCATAAGAAACTACTAGTAGAGCATCACGAGAGCTTGTTAGAATAAGACATGTTATTTTCCGGGAAAGATGATTGTCTGAGAGAAATAATTTTCTAACTGAAAATGTTTTACGTATAATTGTAAGGTGTGAATTAGGAGAAGTTATTTTTTTAGCTTCCAACTCTTTGTTCATTTCGGATGATCACTACACAAAATCAGCATAGTATCACTTTTCAATAGAAACATCACATAATCTAAAAGGCTATTTGACGGAACCACTCGAAATTTCTACGTGAGTTCTACCGCCCTAACAGGAAAAAAAAATGTTTTCCTTGGTGCTCACGTTTTTTTTCGCCGTGCCTGTTGGCACAAAATCCTCCATAAAATCTCATTTGTCCTTGCTTGGATGTAGTCGGATTCGTAAGAATCCACATGTGTTAGGATAGATTGGGGTAAAACTTAAACTAAATTTCAACCCAAACAACCCCAGCACATGTGGATTGAGGTGAATTTGATAACATCAAAAACAAGACATTGGGTGTTTTCTAAAAAAACAAGAACCTGGATTTTCTCATTCACATTAAAATGCATTGTAGATCAAGGCCCTACTCCTAATATTCTAAACGCGTGCACTGTACCGAGGATAAGAAAATTTATTGCTAGTAGAGGGCCTTGTTTTGGAAAACTACCGAGGCAGGAGACACGCCGCGCGAGCAATGGCCAATGGAACCTGAAACGAGCCACAAGCAATGTGTACAAGACGAGAGATCACACTCCGCTCAACGGGGGAAACAGGAGCACAAATGTTCCTATACTGATTTTTTCAGGGTCATCAAAGTAGATTCTATGCAAAAATTATCAATAAATGTGTCTGCACAGGACGCAATTGGATAATCCAGTAGAACTGATGTCAGTGTTTCTGTTTCATGATTTCAATTGATATCACAAGGTGGCCTGCCAAAAGACATTCCAGGAAAGAAGAGGAAGCTCACAGAGCCACTAGAGCCTAGAGGGTACAACAATACATGAGACCACATGCACCTTTATTATGTCTCAGATAAAAACAATAAAAAAAACATGCCTGATTGCAGCACAATCGATCTACAAACTTGCAGGTTGTAGACACGGTCAACCATACTGGTGAACGGCATAAATATATCTTCCGGTACACTACTAGAACTTCACTGTTATGGTATGTTCTTGGGCACATACAATGGTATGAATGGATGTATCATGTCCAGGATAGTTATAAGTTCATTTATATGAATCCTAAACCTCATTGAAGTGTCAGTGGACCGACAAAATTGACTTCTGATTAGAGAAGAAATCAAGCAGTTTGAACTCTGGAGCTATTATTTACAGAGTTTGTTATGGCATATAGGATCTCATTCTAGTCGTCATTCTGTGACGCAATACTACACTTTTGGAACATGAATATCAGCAACTGAAGAAATGAGATCTTCTCTTGACTGCGACCTCCGGCTTTGAAGTGTAGTCTGACCTCGGCTAGGGTTCCTCACACCACTGGAAAACTGCATCTGACCTAAGCTCCCAACAGAATAGCTGTGATAGGCGCCCAAGGATTGCCTTGAGGACTCCATAAGCTGAACATTGCTGCCTCCTAATCCATGGCTCATACCAAATGGATGAGGATCTGACCCAGCAACAGTAGGGCTCAGTGGTGTCTTTGTTCTTCCATCACCTGCAAAATTAAGAAAATTCAAATGTTTGATTATCTAAGCTAAGCTACAGTAAAGAAAGTAAGATTCACAATTTTTTAAAGAACTTAGTTTGAATTCATGTGATGAAAAATATACTCATTCTGTGTGTATCATTTCGTAGAAAAGAGTCACAAGGATTAATGTGATATAAGGTACATCTGAGGTAACATTACAAAGTTCAGTTCAAATGGCATTTTGTAACAAGTAAACTGAAGTGAACATGAAAAGTCCCATGTCCTGCAAGTTGCACCACACAACAGTTCTATGTAAAGTTGATTCCTAGAAGGTTAGTAGAATATCTGAAACTAACAAAATGGCAAGAAAGCTGTGTGCGGAGACACAGAAGCGTGAGTCTCTTCCATTTTCTAAAAAACAAAATTGCAAGTCGCTTTCCAACCAAACAAGTTAAGAACCCTTTGTCTTAAAAAAAAAAGTGTATCTAGAAGCCAACCATGGTGAAAATAATTCAAGTAGTGTAGTCCTTACATGGTAGGTTAACTTTATACAGAAGGGGAGAAACAAAGATGGCAGGAACATAAAACAGAAAAACACACTTGCACATACCTGAACTAATGGGATTCCATAAATGTTTGAAAGGCAATCCCACACCAAGAACAGAACTGCCTCCAGAATTATGCCTATGAAGTGGCAGATAAGACTTGCGGAATGATCTTGGGATTGAATTGCTGGCGCAAAGTATGGCACATATGACCAACACAATTGAAATCAGAAACAATACTATGAGAATATTTGGGTTTATCTCCCAGTGCAGTATTCGGTATCCTTGAATATCTAGTCGTGAAGATAATGCCTGACCAGCCTCCAACAAAGCAACTCCAAGAGTCCAAGTAATACTGCCAGAGCCGATTATCACCTGACTATCTTTAATCTGCAATCCCTCTCTCAGTAGTGATGAAATATAAGGAGCTCTGAAGCAATATTGCTCTACAAAAGGCTGTGGAGGAACACTACTCTTTGCAACTTTCCATGGTTTTTCACAAAACTCCTGACCTCTTTTTAGAACATCAACTAGAGTCGCATCAGCAGTCAAATTAAAAAATTTAAAAACCACAAAGAAGCCAGACATAGCAAAAAACTGACCATGTGGTTGGGGAAAGTTAGAAGCAAGAGCACAAGGATGAATGTTACAATCAAGCCCTGGACTTGCACTGGACCACTCAGAAAGGTTGACTGTAACTTTTGCAAGAGCACTACATTCATACCACTGAGGTGCTCCAACCAGTTCAACAGCTATTCCCTGCTTCTCTTTGCCAGTGTTCTTCTCACCAACACTGGGACTTCCATCTTGTTTTAATGGGTGGCAGTAAGAACAAGTGTAATCTTCTTTGTATCCAGTCTGTAGACAGGGATGTTTGACTTGAACCTTGCCATTACTAGCTGCTGCTCCCAACCTTTTCACTAGATGTGCTACAGATTTATCAAATGCATCATTTAACCCATAACCAGTAAGAGAATAAGCACTAAGGTGATGATCAACTGAACCAATACTCAGACGAATGCTTGTCTCATCCTGCACTGATTTATCATTCTCAAATGTAACCTGTAATGACGATCCACCTAAATCAAGTGAACCATATGTCATTTTAGATGATGAGGTGCCAAGCATATTCATGTGGTGGTTAAGAGCTATCCATCCATAATAAGCTTCATCCATGCCACTAATGATCTTAACTCTGTCTCTACTACATAAAAATGATGAATTGTTCAGAATATCCCAGGCCTTATCCAGGAGCCACTCTGAATCTGCACTAGGTAGCTTGCGGACACCAGCAGTAGCATAAAGAAAAAGTGGAGTATGTTTGTGTGCATGTCTAGGGATCAATTTCTCAGCCATTTGAAGAAGGGGCTCTATTGCCTTCTTCAATCCGGATTCATTGTGAACAAGCTTGCTCAATCCAGGTTCTGTCTCCATTCGCTGATATAGTCGGGTTAATTTACCAGATTTCTTCTTAGGAGCATTCCCTATAGGTTTCAAAACAATAGGAAATGCATTTGCGTCATTATGATTAAGATGCCATTCATAGACATAAACTCTTGTACCAGTGCTGCCACAATCAAGAACCACAAAGTATTCAGAGCTTCCTTCAGAGAGGAACACATGGAAATATCTCCAAGAACCATATGCAAAGAACACCAATAAGCTCAGTGCAATAGCACATCCGGCTGCTCTCATGCATTTCTTTCTATTTGTCGGTGATGATGGGGGTGTTCTTTCTTTGGAAAAGCTTGCGACAGCACCATCTCTTTGAAGCATGCGGACAGGTTTTGCACGTCCTGAGCTCAGATCACTGCCAACACTAGAGCCCCCTTCCAAAGCATCAATTCTAGTGAAGGTCGGCAGATCTTGAAGAGAAGAAGAAAGACGCATAGTTGCGTCTTTCGCAGTCAGGGCAGCAGTTATTACACAATTTTACCAACCAGGGGCAAGAAGCAGGGAGAAGTTCGGGAAACTGCAGTCATAAGCAGATAGCATAACCAGCAGCGGAGTAAGATACCAGCACCTCTATGGCTCTATGCAACCTCGGCCTGCAGAAAGGTTCAAAAGTTAGCTTGCAAACTAACGCTGCGACATCAAACCAATAAAGAAAAAATGGAAATGCACTGCCATGCTGGACATCAAGGCAACATTCTCATTTTCAGAAGAGTACAAAAATAGGTTTCCAGCTCCTCAGCTAGGAATACCATGCCTTAAAAGACGAAGACATCCTCTAAACTGAAACCTTGGAGCAAGGTCACTACCAATCCACGAACAACACCAACATCTTATAATATAACACGCGAAGACAAAGAGCCCTAAAAGGCTAAAACTCAATCCTAGCTTTCCACCATTCATCCAACCCACACTGCACCAAATCACAACCGACGAACCGGCAATTCCATCCTAGCAACGAGCCAAAGCCGCCAGTTTTCC